CTTCTGAAAGGCAGTGCATGAGAGTGCCTAGGAGATGCCTAGGTTAAGAAACTTGGTCCAAACAATTGGTGTGAATAGTATCCCAGGGTTATTTTGGGCCTGGTGAAGGTTTTTAAAAACTTGTTATTATTGATGTAGATTTGTTTCCATATGTATTGGCTGTTCATATACATATCCCTGCATTCTGATTATTAAGCATGGGACTTTGTAAATATGCATTACACTCTGACATAGCTTTATTTCCAAGTCTGGAAACATAACTATTCTAGCACTGTGATATAAACACATTCATTCGCAGACACATGGTTTTCAAAACTGTAGATCAAGTGCTAATACTGGAAATAGAAAAAATCCACTTCACATTGCAAAGAGGAATAAAAAGGTCCACTTTACACTGTAATCAACTTGCTTGCCATACACTCTTCTTGAGAAGGGGATTATGCAATTAGTGGTAACAGAAATGCTGGGCATTCTATGAAGGAAGGACACCACAGGCTGTGATTCACAAATTCTTGTTCAAAAGTAGATACCCCAGCTCCATCACTAGAAATTGTGACTTATTAGATCTCAGATGAAGTTCGATAATCTTTTTTTTTTAACCATCAGAAACGATTAGCATATATTTAAGAAACAGATCCAATTTTGTTTATTTTTAATTTTTTAGTGATAGGATTTCACGATGTTGTCCAGGCTGGATTCAAACTCCTGGACTCACTTGATCCTCCCACCTCAGCTTTCTGAGTTAGCTGGGATAGTAGGTGGTGCCACTGCACCTGGTTGTTTAAGAATCTTTATTGCTAAGTTTTAATAAGTACCCCAGGTGATACCAATTCTGTGCCCTTTGAGCCATTGTTTGAAAGAAACATTTTCTAACATATCTAATCAGACATTTGCTTTTTTTCAGGATTTTACATGAAGCAAAAGTGACCCAGAATCTTTTCTCCTTTTATTGCCAAATGCAAAGAAAAGAGTCCTCATCTCTCATAAAATGACTACACTTAAGAGTGAAAAAAAAAAGAAATGTGGGATTTTTAAGAAAAGTATCATCAGCTGTCAAATGTCATGAATATGTCTTGATTAATGGGCCACATGACCCAAAACTCATTATCTTCCCCAAAACCACCATTATCAATACATGCACAAAATGCACTGACACAATAGTTTTCTACCTTGGCCTGTCAATGAAGTTATTGAAATGAAATTTCCAACTCATTTCCATTCTTCTGTTCAATTTATCACCCATTTTGAGAGCTACACCACAATCGATTCTATTACACACTTTCCTGCAACTCCTCACTTGATAATGAAGTAATCAAAAGAGTCAGGGTTTTACCTATAAATATTATTTCATTTTATACTTTAGATGAATTTCAGGATCCTTGCATGCACTGTGCCCTTAATTAGTAATTGCTGAGTGCATGAACAAAATATTGGGCTGAATCACATTATTGTATATAGCAATAGATCAAATCATATTTTTAGCAAAGCCAGTCATGAGCTGATTCTTAAAGAAACCCATGGTGATCATTTTAGAAAAGTGAAGACAATTTTTTTATTTGGTAAGGAAAACAATTATACTTTAATGTTTTTTTGTAAACCTTTCATTTTGAAATAATGTTATAATAAATTACAAAAGCTACAAAAATTATTCAGAGGGTTCCCTTACCATCTTCTGAGGGTAAGTTGCAGATGTGATATCCCTTTACCACTTCATATTTCAGTTTATACTTCCTAAAAACAAGAACACTCTACTATATACCTTGAGCACATCGGGAAAATAACAACTATCCAATTTAATCTATCAAATCCACAGAATCCACTGAGTATGCCACAAAAGTCATTTATACGTTTTGGATCCCATTCAAGATCACATGCTGCATTTAGTGCTGTCATCTCTTTACTGTCCTTCAATCTGGAACAATCTTTACTATCATAGTCTTGACATTTTTAAAGAGTACAGGCCAGTTACTTGATTTTTCTCTCAATTTGCATTTCTCTGATGTTTTATCCTGACTTACATACTTATGTATAAGAAATGAAACTACATTCTTGGCGTATCATGTCAAGATGCAGCACAAGGCTGATTTGCCCCATTGCTGGTTTTCATTTATGTAAAATTTTACCAGTTGATTAAGATGATATCTCCCAAGTATTTACAGCTGCATGTTAAGTAATAAGTATGCTGTACTTATTAATAATTAATAATGTATTAATGAACATTTTTAGAGATATACTTTGAGACTAGGGAAATATCCTGCTCCTCATCAAAATTTTATCCACCAATTTTAGTAGCTATTGATGATTCTGGCCCAAATCAATTATTAAGATGGTGGTTGCCAAACGGTGGTTTTCTAATTCTATCTTTTCTTCTTCATTTATTAGTTGCATTCTACCATAGAGTTCCTTTCTCTGTTTCTATCAGCATGGACTGATGGATTCTTATTTTAATCAAAGGGTTAAATTTGTCATTGTCATTAACTATTTTACACCTTAAAGTGTCCAAGATTGGCCAACAGGAACCTCTTCAAGCTGACTTCTATATTCTTTTGACATGTCTCCATAATTCTTTAAGTACTTTCTCATTTCCTTGGAGAACAAATTATTCTAGTTTTATCCACTGCACCAAGGAATGCTGGTTCCTTTTATTGAAGGATGGTATGAAGAAACCAATGTCTGAATGTTAGGTGTGTTCATTGCTACTGGGGTGCCACTGCTTTTAGGCCTTCTCAGTTGACAAACCTAGGAAATATATCAACATATACACACACATATACACTTCTATCTTTCTATCTATAATCTCTTTGGATCCAAAATCATTTTACATCTTCACTTTCAATTTCAAGCCACTTAACTGGATCTCTTGCCTTTCTATATTGGTTATTCTGTTCTCCAACAGTGAGATGACTGGCTCGAATATTCCTAATGTATGTACTTTTTTGCTCAATTCCCTAGTACATAAACCAATCTCTTGGCCATGTCAGCAAAAATAGAGATACATCCTGTCTCTATTAAATACATATATCTAAAATACCCCCCACATATATACACATATATATGAAATCAGATATTCTATGTATAAGAAATCATACTATGTAGCTATATCAGGAATCCCATATAATACACAAAATGTATCAATGTGAAAATATATATCTAATTTCTATAAATATCTGATTTCACAGATGTGTTTTTTAAAAGACAAGTACACAGTAAGGCTTTCTTCTAATGAGCCTGGAGCCTGCTGTTCATACTTCCACAGTGTTATTCCTTCATGCTCTGTCTGGCCCTCAAGGAGCTGCTAGCCTCAGAAATGCAGAGCTACAGCTGGGCACTGTGTCTCACACCTGTAATCCCAACACTTTGGGAGGCCAAGGCGGGTGAATCACCTGAGGTCAGGAGTTTAAGACCAGTCTGTCCAAAATGATGAAACCCCACCTCTACTAAAAACACCAAAACATGAGCTGGTGGGCACCTGTAATCCCAGCTACTTGAGAGGCTAAGGCAGGAGAATCACTTGAACCCCAGAGGCAGAGGTTACAGTGAGCTGAGATTGCGCCACTGCACTCCACAAAAGTGAAACTACGTCTCCAAGAAAATAATAAAAAATGCAGAGCTCCTCAAAGCAGAAGTTCACCCAGTCATCACCTTTCTTTCCATGCACGGCCCGTTATTTAACTGTGACAGCCGCAGCCAGCCCCACAACCGGCATGAGCCAAGTATTGAGCCTAGGGAAGGAAATATTTTTTATTTCAACATTAATAAATAACTGGGACATCTGTTAACAATTCTATTTTATTCACAAGGCGGGGGATGGCTTCTCTTGGTTGCATGTTTTCCCCCAGGTTTCTGTGGCTCCTCTTGTGGGCTAAGCCTACCATAGCACACATATCTGCTTGTGGACTGTCCCATTCGACCTGAAGGCTTCAGGGCAGAGACTGCTTCGTTTCTCCATTTCTAATGCTAGCAGAGGGTCTAACACTGAGCAGGTGCTATTTGTTTATTGAATAAAAGAATGACTATATCCATTAATCAATGTAGAATGGTGGGAAAAGATACATTTTGGGAAGGAGACTTTACTCTTTAACTTTTGGACTCATGTGAATGAAGAGTCCAGGTCATCCATCCTTAGAAGCATTTAGGTATTTTAAGCTTTTTCCCCCTTTTCTGGTGACATACTACAATTCAATAATCTCGAATTTATTCTTGATATTGATAGCATTGATATTGCACATAAATCCCACGGTTACGTCCAGCACTAATGATCTTGTCCTATGTCCACCTGCAGCTTCCTGAATCTGTAAATAAACATCACATTTCAAATCTCCACGTTAAAGAAAGGCATCAGTTCAAGTCACGTTCTCATTTTCTGTCAACTTTTTTCTTCTTCCCCCAAGAATATTTGAGAGTCAATTTTCTCGAAAGCACTTTTGTAGTGTTCCAGATAGGAATCATCTTATAACACTCCCAATGCAGCGCGTGGTGTGCATGTTGAATAAATAAAAATGATGAGCTCAGGAACAATATCACCGACAATCGCGGTGTCCCGTTTTAGTTTAGAGGGCGCCAGCAACACGTCAGTGAGGGAGTCGGAAGCCACGGGGCACCTCACCCCGGGCCGGGAATCCCTAAGAGAACCTTAACGCCACTGAAGTTTCCAGACGGGGTCAGTCTGGAATTGACGAAAGGAGCCTCCGCCCGGTCGAGGCAGTCTCCCGGTTTTCTCGCGGCTTCTGGAGGAGGAGGAATTTCTCGGTTTTCTCCTCCTCGGGCAAATCACGGTCTGCGCCTTCCGCGGCGCTGGGAACAGGTGAGCCCGGCGGCGGCGCCCTCGGGACGCGCACAGGTGCTGGTCCCCGCCCGCCGGCCCCTCCCTGCGCCACGAGGTCCGGGCCCAGGTGCCGGCGCCCAGGTGCGCGGGGCACGGGGCTGCAGCTCCGCTCGGCATCCGACAGCGGGCGCTGCTGCAGCAGCTCGCGGGCCTCGGAGCTAAACGGCTTCGCGAGTTGGGGCAGCTCCTAGCGCTCGGCCCTGCTCGGCGGCGAGAGCTCCGCCCGGGCGCCGGGCTTCCACAGCCGCGAGAGACGGCGGGCGCCGAGGGGACGGGCCGACCTCCGCGCACCATTTGCTGGCCCGGTGCGGGCGGGCGAGCGGCGAGCGCCCGGGAGAGCGGAGAGCCAGGCCAGCCCGGAGTGCGCCGGAGACACCCCGAGCGCCCCGCGTTCTGGCACCATGCGACCCGCCGCGCGTCCTCCTCGCGGGCCCGGGGCTTCGCTCTCCGCTCGCTGAGCCCCTGCGCTCGCCACCACGGAAACTCGGAAAGAGGAGGCGAGGCTGTGGGGAGCGGCGCGGGGACGGACTAGGCTTCCCCTCCGCCCCCAAGAGGCTGCCGGTCCCCGGTTCCCTGGGCTTCTCCAGCTTTATCATGAACCTGGCGCAAGGTTGGCTTTAGGAGAAATTCAGGAGCCGGAGAGTCAAGGCAATTCTTTGGTTGCTAAGGTAATTGTAGTTGAGACAAAAATGGGCAAGAAACAAACGGGGGAAAACATGGTTTAAAACAGTATCCCCCCTCCCCACCCCTTATGTGTTGATTTCATCTCCTGGGTGTGGGTGCTTGTCCATTTCAGATGCGTGACAGGTGCCCGTGTGTGTGTGTCTGCAGTTTGGGACTGTGGAAGCACGAGCTTACATAAGTGGTTAGGCAAGCTGGCGTGTGGACTTGTGTGGGATGGGTGCAGGTCTGCATATAAATCATGTTCCTGGGTTTCTGGGTGTGAAGCGCACACCGACGGGGACGAGGGTGCAGAGGATGGCGCTTTTAGGTACTTCCAGCCTTCCGATGTTGTGATCGCAGGTAGGGCAGCTTTGCCTCTAAATCAGGCGTTCATTAACTTTTTCTGTGAACGAGCTCGCCCATTTGTGGTCTGGAAGAAAAGAAGGCGAGTCTCCGTGGTGAGGTGTGGAGGGCAGGGGCGGGTGGGGAGGTTTGTTGTTTGGGAACTGCGCTAGCAAAGGAAGCGGTGGCTATTCGCTAGGAGAGAATGACAACTGAACTGATTGCGTGAGGAGTGGAGAGACCGTGTTTACAGTCACCGGCAGGCTGCGTAAAAAGTGGTCCAGTGAGACCAGGGAAAGTGACCCAGAAAATTTAATTTTGTTCAGAATGAAAGCTGCTGTATGTCATTTTTTCCCCTTAATTTGACGGAGTGGGAATGTTATTTTCTTTCTCTCTCGTTGAGACCAGTAGCGTTTCTATGTTACAAACCGAAGCTATTTGGGGTCTCGTGGACTTGGAATTATCAATGCTTAGGAGGTGAGTTCTGATCAATATCTTTAACAGCCCCAAAGAAAAACTGCAGAGATAATCGAGATTAGGTAAAATCTACCACGGGACCCTTTTCTCTCCAGAGTGGGTGAGAGATGGAAGCACTGGACTTGTAAGTATCAACATGGAGTTAGAGAATGAGCTACAAGTTTGTGTGTGTGTATGGTCTGTTAAAAAGTGTAAGACTTAAAGGAGACTGTTAGGTTTAATGTGTTGACAACACGGCTCTTATAGATCAATTTTCATAGGCAAATAGGTAATTACATGGAGTGGGAGCTGGGATGTTGGTGGGAAACTTTCTGTAAGATGCATATTCTTTATTCTTAATTTATTACTTTTGCAATGGGTAGGATTACTCTGTGAAGGAAAGTAGAGGGCTGAGGGAAATTTGGTGAGACTCTTGAGAGAGAAACCTTTGCAAGCCAAATCTTTCATGCTAAACAGGGAAAGCCTAGATGATGAATTCTGAGTTCTTTGATACCGTACCACTGTTAAGCTAAGTCGTCGTGTAAATGTGATCTTATGCACTATAAGCTATAGCTATATGTGGAGAGAGAGTCTATTTCCAATAACTCGTCCTTTCCTGAAAGCATCTGCAAGTTCTAGAAATGTCAGCTGTTAGGAGGTATTGTGATGAAGGAGAGAGGCCACTGGTGTTTCCTTTTTATATTGATTCCAGCAGATCTTAACTTCCAGTTTTCTTTAAGGAATTTCAGTTAACATTCACTAAATTTATATTGCTGAGAGTTTCAGTAAAACAAGGTTAGTTTTTCTTTGAAGCAATAAATTTCATCTTATCAAGTGAAACATTACAACAATGCTTTTGTGGCAGAAATGTTTATTTAAATAAGTTCATTTTCATCATTTATTTTTGATATGCAGAATAAGATCCCCAACATAGGTGTTTTTGAAGTCCGTAGACATTTCTTGAGAAAGAAAAAAAAAAATTTAAGGTTACTGTGGCCAGTGAAATTTGCCAGTAATTTTGGATGTCTCATTGCCTACAGGGACATAATTTTATGTGAAAGCAGGATCATTTTGTTTCTTATGTCTCTCATCTTCTCCCATGCATTTTATCCCCTGAACTCCTAAGACTTTGCCAGGAATTGCTGAACATTCTGCTTTGTGCCAGGGGTTAAATATCAGGGGGATGGAAATAAGGAGCCGTGTGTCATATAAACGTATTTCAAAAGGATGTTTCCATAGCTCTGAATACTGGGATTAATTTTTCCTTTAGCTTCGCAGTTAGCTTGTCTTAATTCATAGTGCTCTGAACCTAGGAATGCATTTAACCTCTTCTTAGTGCCAGCTGGAAGGAATATATTTACCAAATTTCATCTTCATTGTAACATATGGCATGATATAAATAATTACTATACACACACTATCCTGATGTATGGAAAGAAACAGAATTACAAAATAAACTTTCATGTTGAGTGATATGGATATAATATTTCAAAAAAACAATTTTAACTTTTCCCCTGATTCCAAAAGCAATATTTAGCTATTGAGAACAATTCAGGGAAATACAAAGAAAAAAAATAAAGGTTATCCATAATCTGCTAAGGAGGGGAACCACTATGAATGTGTCTTTAAGTGTATATTCTTCCAAATATTATTCTAGTCAATTATTATATTTCTACCCAGTCACCCCTCTACCAGAAATTTTTATAAATATAAGATATAACTAGGAAATATAACTTGGAAATGTATTAAAGGTTTGGGAAATTACTGCTTGTTTATGGAATGATTTTGATCAGATATTAGTTTTTATTGGTGGTCCTTATTTTCAAAGAGTAGGTTCTTTTTCTGCTCTTTGAGAGCAAGTGTTTGCACTTTGGGCTGGTAATACTTGGGGCTTCCTATCGGATTTAGGGATTAAATCATCAGAAAAGAAGTGGGAGATTGGCCATTGGGGGTGGGAGACCTGAGTTCTGGTTGCGGTTACTCAGTCAACTTCTCCTGTGGCCTCTGGGCCTCTGTTTCCTTAAAGGGCAAACGGCACTTTTAGATTTAACTCGGTAAGCTAATTTGTTGCTTTGACATGAGAATGATCTTTGAAGAGGGCTCATTCAAACACAGAAACACCTGGGGGTCACCCCCAGAGTCTCTGATCCATTTGTCTGGGGTAGGGCCTGAGAATGTGCCTATCTGACAAGTCCCCAGATGAGCTGACTGCTGGTTTGGTGACAGTGAAAACTAGAGGGTAAGGGTATTAGGGTTCTCTTAGAAGAACAAAACTAATATATATATGATATGTGTATGTAATATATATACACATATATGTGCGTGTGTGTATATATATAAAGCAGAGCTTATTAAGTTATTAAGTATTAACTTACCTGATCACAATGTCCCACAATAGGCTATCTGTAAGCTGAGGAGGAAGGAGAGCAAGTCCGAGTCCCAAAACCAAAGAAACTGGAGGATGTTCGAGGGCAGGAAGCATCCAGCATGGGAGAGAGATGAAGGCTGGGAGGCTAGGCCCCTCTCTCCTTTTCACACTTTTCTGCCTGCTTTATATTCACTGGAAGCTGATTAGATTGTGCCCATCAATTAAGGTTGAATCTGCCTTCCCCAACGCACTGACTCAAATGTTTAATCTGTTTTGGGCAACACCCACACAGACACACCCAGGATCAATACTCTGTATCTCCTCAATCCACTCAAGTTGACACTCAGTATTAACCATCACAAGCCCGCCCCTTATCAACTTGAACCCATACACAGCTCCTGAGATCATACATAACCTTCAAATAAAGACAATAATTAGTCATAATTATGCCTAACATAATACAACTATCCTTCCTACAGCCAGAAATGCACCAATCCCCAACCCAAATACTATTACATAAAGTTAACAATACTTAAATGCTGATGTGAAGTCAATAAATCTTATGTCACGTGACAGAGAAAAAGGAAATTAAATATATTTTCTTAGAGCAAGTGTATATATGCACATACATGTTTTTAACTAAAGGAGGAAATACTCATGACAGTTACAGTCCTCATTTCTGCAGCTGGTCATGTGATCATAGCTGGTAATGATGTGACTACCTTTTTCTACCCATTTTGTATTCCTTTTGCCTGCAGCAAGCACCTCAGCAGGTTGTGGTTTTTTTCTTGGTGGAGTGACCCAAACTTTCATTCCTGAAGAGTCTGGACCATTTGTAGCCCTGCCTGGATTGGGCTGTTGTAGTTTCTCATTGACCTTAATCACAGGGATGGTAATACTAAGAGACACCCTAATGGATCTCCTGTGTTCCATATGTGTTCTTCTTTACCTCCGCTATAGAGTAGTAGACCGATTTCATCTTGTTAGTCTGGGTCAATCACCCCAGCCAACACTGTAACTCCCTTCTTAGCTTGTTGATTTAAAGGTAGGAGGAGCCCAAAGTGTCCAGGTGGCAATCTTAACTTCTAGTTTAATGGAATCACTGTTGTGTCTCCTGGTGGCAGCATTTCTCCCTCTGGAACTAAGACCTCTAGGCCAGCAGAATGTAATGTCATGGGAACAGGAAGCAGAGCTTTTGCTAGTGGATCACTAGGGGTGATGGTGAGTGGTGCCACTTTCACTTCCACCCCTTGATTCCTATACCTGTGAATCCTTACTATGGGAGAAACAGTATCATATATCGAATGCTGATTCAAATCATACACAGTCTTCTGGAGAACTTTGCCTCAGCCCTGCAAATATTGTCACCTAGTTGGGGTTGTAATTGTGACTTCAAAAGGCCATTCCACTGTTCTATCAATCCAGCTGCTTCAGGATGATGGAGAACATGAAAAGAACAGTGAATTCCTTGAGCACAAGCCCACTCTCACACTTCTTTGGCCATAAAATGAGTGCCTTGGTCAGATGCAATGCTGTGTGGAATATCATGATGGTGGATAAAGCATTCCGTGAGTCCACAGATGGTAGTCTTGACCAAAGCATTACGTGCAGGATAGGCAAACCCATATCCGGAGTAAATATTCCAGTGAGGACAAATCTCTGCCCTTTCCATGATGAAAGAGGTCCAATATAATCAACCTGCCACCAGGTAGCTGGCTGATCACCCCGAGGAATGGTGCCATATTGAGGGCTCAGTGTTGGTCTCTGATGCTGGCAAATTGGGCACTCAGAAGTGGCCATAGCCAGGTCAGCCTTGGTGAGTAGGAGTCCATGTTCCTG